ATATGGCTTTTATTTAATTGACAGAGAGCTAGTGGGTTGGACTTTTAAGTTTCATGTTCTCCTTATTTGTCTAAGGCTGGATGAAAGTAATGAGACACAAAAAGGATTAAATTTAGCAAGGGGGCAACCAAAAAGACCTGTACAGGGTAGCATTGTCACCACTAGTTTTCATAATAAAAGACTGGGGGTTCGGCCCTCCCTGGTGGCACAGTGGGTTAAAGCACAGCACTGAGAATCTAAAGCCACTTCCTCATGAGTTCAATTCCTGCCTGTCCCGGAGGTGACCACATGGCGTGGCAGACCTCTCCTGACCGCCTGCTGCTCCCCTCAGCAGTGTACTTCGTTGATCTGCCTGTTCTGCTCCCCACTCTGTCTCTGGTGAAGCCTCTCGCCACCCCTGAGCCTCTGGCCTGTACCCCAGTTCTGTATGCACAAATAAATAAATCTTAAAAAAAAAAAAGACTGGGGGTTCTGTTTACCAATTTAAATACTCACACCAAGGCTTATTTTAAGATACAGACTTGTCATAGTGGGGAAGAGATGTGTCATAATATAGTATTAAACAGTATGCTCATCATATAGTCACAATAGACACAAATAATCTCAAAATCATGGATAATAGTACAATGCAGAAAAGCAATTAAGGATCAGTAGCTTTTTAGTATTTATCTCTTTTGCTTTTATTTTTTATTTTTTTCAGTGTGTGGGATAATCACTTTCATATTTTGATGCAAGCAGGCAGGTCAGGATGGTGGGTGGATGAGGGGGGGAGAGGGAGGGAGTGAGGGAGGTAGGACGGGAGGAAGGAGAGAGGAAGATATTAAATAAAGGACAAATGAAAAGCACATCCTGGATGGTTTCACAGCATTTGTGCTGCAAATGGGGTGTAGCACACTCAGTTCCTCTTTGTTGGGGAGGGGATTTTGGGGCAGGGGGTCTGGACACTTTTCACCAAGGCCCCAAAAGTAGGTGAGAAGACACAGGAGAGAGGAGACACTTTGGGCTTCTCAGGAAAGTGGGCCCGCCTTGGGGAGCCTGAGCCACAAGGAAGCTAAGGCAGGGCTGCTCCTTGGGGGAAGCCTTCGGTGTCTGTGGGGTTGGCCACTGAGGCTGCTTTTCTGCCCCTCCCCAGGAGGGCATGACCTCACGCCTCTTTGATCGATTTTTGAGTTGCTTTTTGTAGATAGAGTGATGAAGTGGTTCATCTTCATTCTTTCCTTGTGGATTATCCCAGCACCATTTGTTGAGAGACTATTATTTCCCATTGAATTGTCTTGGCACCCTGTTGACTACTGATCAACTTTAAATATTTAAGTTTATTGATAGACTTTCAATGCTATTCTTTTAAAAAAAGATTTATTTATGCATATAAGAACTGGGGTATAGGCCAGCTGTGCAGGGGGTAGAGGATTCACTAGAGACAGAGTGGGGAGCAGAACAGGCAGATCTACTGAAATCCCCTGTTGAGGGGAGCAACAGGGCAGGCAAAATAGGAGAGGTCTGCTGTGCTATGTGGGTCAGCTCCCTGGCTGGGGATCAAACTCATGCTGCAGTGGCTGCAGGTAGCTTCATAGTGCATGTCTTCCAGTTGTTTTTGAAAACTGAACATTTGCAGTCATATAATGTGGCAACTCTGAAAATGAGTTTTCCCCGATGCCCTCTTTCCCTGGGGTTTGTATTATTTTGTTTGTTGTTACTACACCATTCAATTGTTTAGTGACTTTCTTGGACTAATTCTGTACAGTCTGTATTTTTTTATTGTGTATGGCCACTGACATCTCTGTTCAGCTAGCTTAGTGGTCAGGAATATTTGCACAGAGATTTCCTTAAATGCCTTGAACGGAATGTCTCCCCGATTTTGTTAAGAATCTGCATATGGAAAAAAAAGAATCTGCATATGTGTTGAGACCTGCCTTCAGTGATCCAAGCTTAAAATTCTACCTTAGCCTTTCTTCCTGCTTGCACAGTCTCAATATTATCTAGAGATGAGAGATCTGTGTTTTCTCATGTCTTTTTTGGGCATATGCACAGCTCTGCCCATGAACACTGATTTTTAGATTTCTAGTCAAAAATTATAAAGTCCCCATGACATCTCATCCTCCAAATTTTTCTCTTTTAAGTTTTTGATCAGTCAACTAATATTAGTGGCTCAGAAAGCTGTGGTATTAAACAATTGCCACTGGTTGTTTTCAACAAACTGAGGAAAGAACTGTTGGTACTGAGTGAGTTCTGAGTCATGTTCAGTAAAGAGAGTCCTGGAAATGGCACCTTGCTAAGGAGCGGCCTTGGAGGTCAAAAAGTGATGGTTCCCTTGTGATGCAACTTTGGGGTGATCCCCAAACCGGTTCTGTCCCCTCAAGTGGCTGCTAGGTTGCTCATTTTCATGCAAATCACTGTTGTCAGGTTGCTGATTTTCAAGACTACCCTCTGGGGAGAGAAAAATGGGACTAGCACAAGTGAAAATGCCATGAAGCTCACAATTCCTAGGGAGATTCACTTTTCTTTAGTAAACACTCCTCATGTTGCTAACATTTAGCTAATTTCTAGAGTTTCGCAGAAGTTGATTTTGACCATTTTTGCCAGTGTTCCCACTGTTTCCCATTCAGGAAGTGCTTTTCCTACTTACCAATTTATTTTTAAAGCATAGCTCATGTCTGTCCTTTAAACCCACTATAGTTAGCCCCTAATTTATCATGCTGCAAACTAGGCTGCTTCCAGAGGCAGAGGGGGTGGTTGGTTGCTTAGGGTATTAACCTAGAAGTTTTAAAGTTGTGAGAATTAACTTTTTTGTTAGTATCATTTATTTAATAGCAAATTTATGCCATTTAATTTTAAATAATGGCTGTGTTTAACAACTGGCATACAGAATTCCTAAAGATTTAAGAGTTGCTTTCAAGTGCCGTCCCCAACTAGCCTCAGTTTCTCAGTGACAGGCCCCTCCGGGAGGTACCTATTTAATCAAACTCAGCCCTGCAATCATTTAGGGTATCCTCTGGTTCCAGAAGCTCAAGCTCATCCAGTATCCAATGAACTCTGTGTCTGCCAGCACCAGTCCCTAGGCAGAACTGGCAGGGTAGACCAACTGATGGAAGGGTTTTCCAAAGGATGGGCTTGGCATGGAAGAAAAATTGGAAAAAGCTGAGCACATATGAGAATGACTATGGTACACTGAAATATATTACATCTAATTTTAGGGAACAAATCTCAAATGATGCCAGAGGCTATTTTCTGACTGCTATGGGAAACTAAACAAGCAAACAGACTTTCGTTTGTTTTGTAAATTCTCTAACTGGAAGCCTTCAAGAGTAGCACTGGGGCAAAGGTAGAAGTAGTCAGGTGGGTGGTGGGGAAAGGTTTCCATTAGACACTCTGTGAGGAATGTGAACCTTAACCCCTGTTCTGTGAAGAAAAGAAAAAAAAATGTTTTGAAAACTTTTGGGCATGCTCAAATAATAACAAGCCTGTATGGGGATTGTGGTTTGACATGTTGTTGGGGTGTACTTTAATTATGATTAACAACCACAAGTATTACGAGGCAGGGCCTTGCTTGGGCCAGCACTGCTGCAAGCAATGACTCCTCCTGTATTCAGCAAGAGCATTCCCTGGCTTCCTCAAACTCAAAGTCCATAGCTTCCTGATAGCAGTAGGACAACAGAGTGATTGTATCTATTTTTGAGAACTTTGCCTTCCTTTCCTTTCCTACACAGATTATCAGAGAGGCATGGATGCTCTAATTCACATTTCACAGTCCAGCTCTTCGTTTACATAGGTGTTTATTGGCTTGTGTTAATCTATCAACAAATATTACCTTGATTTTGTTTGCGTGTCTGTCCCTGAGTTAGTGTGGCACAAGGCTGGCATTTAGGATGGACATTTGAGGAGGCTGGAGAACAGGGGAAGCTTCCTTGTTGCTGGTTAGTAGAGCCCTATCTGATAAGATTCAAATCTGGGCCTCTCATGCACAAACTGGACTACACATGCTTCTCCAGAGAAGCAGGGCATTTCCCCACTCCTGAGCCTTTGCTGTGAATTCTGCCTGCAAAGTACTTTTTCTACTGTTTCTTTAGGACTATGATCTTTCCTTACTTGGTGTTGGGCCCGTGTCTCTGGGAAGCAGGGAAGATTATACTTGGGAGCTCATCTCTGCTGTCATTCCTTTAGAGAAGGCCACTGGGAGCCAGGCCTTGTGCCAGCCCCTGGGACTCTAGCTGACCCTGGCACAGCTCTTGTCCTCAGGGATCTTATGGCCACAGGAACAATAAAATGTGACAGCTTGGCTAGCCATCCAGGGCTGGGTACCAGAAAGTGCTGGTTGTTTCTTTTGGGATATAGGGAGTGACCTTCTTAGATGCAGTCATGCAGGTGAGATTGACAGAAGAAAGGGAGTGTCCCTGGTGGATAAGAGGACAGGAAGGACACTCGGCAAAGGGAATAGCTTAACTTCAGGAGCTGAGTCAGTGGGTGTCGAGGAGAGAGACATCCTTGCTGAATTGCAGTAAAAAACCTGTTCTTTGATGACCGAAAAGATGTGTAGGTCATCCTAAGGAGAAAAGCCTAAAACGGGTATGGACAAGAAAATAAGCAAAAGAAAAAACCTGCCAGTTTGTAAAAATATTGGGGGAAAAATCAGTACAGTTTCTGGATGCTCTTTATGGTCTTCTTTATATGCCCTTATATTTATAAATTAAAAATAAGTCGGTATTACCTATTGCCCACGCACTTCTCTGCCTGCAGGGGGCGCACTTTCGGCCACCTTCTTTCAGCCAGGGCGATAGGCGTGGCCTTCTGGTCAGTGTGGGACAGTCGATTGGCTGGTTGGATTGTCTATCACAGAGTCCCTCCCCCACTTTACGTCACATGACGCAGCCCATCATGGCGGCGGGAGCGCGGCTGCTGGGGCCCGCGGCTCCGCAGTTCTGCTGCCGTTGCTGCTGTTGAGAGGCGGCGGTAGCGGCGCAAGCTGGTGGGCAGGCGGGAAGCATGGTGTTTCTGTGGCCAGAGTGGCGGGTGCGGACCAGGAGCCAGGCTGAGGTTTGGCTGAAGCGACGTGTGCTCAGGAGCCACCAGCGCGGGTGCCGCTGAGGCAGCGGCGAGAGGCAGGACCAACTGACGGACTGAAGGCGACTGGAGAGCCGGCCAGGGGCCGCGCTGCGGGCGAGATGCCGGGGGTGCCGGCGTGGCTGCTGTTGCTGCTGCTCCCTCTCCTGACCGCCGGCAGTGCCCGGGCCGCGCCACTTCCGCAAACAGGTGCAGGTGAGCGGCCCGCGGCGGGGCCCGGGCTGGGGCTTCGGGGATGCTGCGACCCGGGCGGCCGGGGCCGGGGAGGAGGCGGCAGGCCGGGTCTGGCCTTGGCGCCGAGGGATCGGAGGGCTGGAGGCCCGGGGAAGCGAGCATTTCGGAAGATTTCTGCCGCAGGGGCGTGGGGTGGGGGTGCAGGCTGCCTCTCAAGGGCCGAAGCGGGGGCGAGGCGTTGCGGTTGGGGCTGAGGAGGGTGGCGGGCGGCTTGGCGCGACCGACCCCTCCCGGGCAAGGCTGCAGTACGGGTTCTGGACCTGTTGCCCAAAGGTCCTTCCCCAGCCTGTATCCATTCCCGGCAGTTCTGCTTCCCTTTCCAGATGTCATCTACCTCCTATGCGTTTCTCACATCTTATAAGACCGTTTCTTAGCCCCAATCACGTTTAAATGTAAATTACTTGGAAAGCAGTGCGGAGTTTCCTTTGCTTCCTGCGACTTATTCTGAAGTTGTAAATTGATTTTTGAAGCTGTGCTTTTTATTTCAATCGAATCTCTGGAGATTAGGAAACAACTCTTTACTATGTAAGTATTTCTATTTTAGGGAGCCAGTGATTACAGTAGCAGCCTTTGAATAACTATTGACAGAACCACCGAAGGGTGACTGAAGTTTCTATTTTAGTTATGTCAGTATGTAAGTCCCCCCAGCCCCCCCCCCCCATTTTCGCTTGTGGCTTTTTTACCTAGATAAAACTTAAACCCAGAAGAGCCAAATTGGGTCTTTTTTTAGGGAAAAAATAGGCTGATTTGCCTTTATCATCTCTCTGCTGCTTATCTTTGAAGTGAGGGAAGACTGAAATTGCATACATACAGAAAATTTTAGAATGAGAAGAGACCTTAAAGAACATTTATTCCAATTGAGGCCTTGGGGGGTCAAATAACCTACCCAAGGTGACACTGCTAAATGGTAGGCAGTCACAGCTGAAAACCAGGTCTTAAATTCCCCTAGTTATGTGATTTTTCTACTTCACCACTTCAAATCTTGTAACTCTGTAGGCGTAGGAATACTCTTGAGGTCAAAAGTTATTTTAGAATGCTGTTAATTGGGTACAGAATGTGGAAATTACTGTTCCTGGTAAAGACATATTTTTCAAACACATCTATAATGGAAGATATATATATATAATTGTTTTCAGAGCTATACCAGGTTATGTCATTGAGTGTCCTTTAGTCGCATATTAGCTGTTATCATTGCACCATATAATGTATGGTTGAATGTCTGCCACTACCTTGGATTAAATATTTGTAAGGTGAGTTCTGTTTTCTGATCTGACAGATAGGAAGAGTGAATGTTATTATAACTATATCAGCAGCCCAGCTGAGAATCCCAGAAAGTACTTGGGAAGTTATGAAAGACTCTTTGGAAAGCTGTTGATGTTGGTATTGGTAGATGTGAATTGATGAAATTGAAAATTAACACTAGAATAGTATAGTGGATAAAGAATATTTATGTTGCAGAAATTCAGGTAGTTTCCTGATGATTTTGCACTTAGTCAACTTTACATGTATTTTGAAAAAAATTCTTTGCGAGGTCCTATGTGTTTGTCTGTATATCTTAGTTTTTTGTTATTTTATGAAGATGTGACTAGTCAAACCGTAAGTTTCTTTGAAGTGTTATAAAACGAAGCAATCCAAAAATTTATTCACAAAGAGAAATATAAAATCTTGATATAAAACAAAAAAAAATTGGTAATTTATGGTAGATTTACTTCTGGACTCCCCAGAATTCAAGATTCTAATGCGTAGAGGGTATTTCATTGGACTTGTAGCCTGTGAATGACAACTACCATGGAAGTTCTGTGGAAACGATGTGCATTCATACGTAGATCTGGTTGCTTGTCTTTGCATCAAAAAGAGGTTATCCTGGTAACAGATGTACTGTTGACTGAGATGTATTAGCCAAAGAAGAATAAAGAAACCTTTGAGCTTATATTGATATGTGAGCTCCCAGGTTAAAAAAAGGAATCTTTCTTGAGGTGTAGAGTAGTTAAAAGAGCTGTTAAACATTGAAAGTCTAATAATTCTTAAGATTTTGATTATCTGGAGACCCTGACCATTTTCAAATTAAGAATAGACCCACTTGTGTAGGATCTTTTGCCTCCTCGTCCTGTTCTTTCTACTTAAAGTTCAAACTGGTTAATAGTGTTCTGGAGCAAGCATGGCTTAGCAAAAATAAGTTGGAAGAAATACTTGAATTTTATTCTTCACCATCTTGTTTGCATGGTGAAAGAGATGAGGCATTTAGTTAAAATTCAGCATTTCAATTGAAGTTTGTATATTCAAGGTTCTTATTATCCAAAAGCATTTCTAATTTTGAAATGGTGTATGCCCACCGGTTCATAATAAAGCTTTATAAACATGTGGATTGTCTTTGTCCATCAGGCAAGAAATCCTGTGCAGATGAGCACATTTAGTCAATCTCAGAATTTCACTAAAATTCTTGGTTGAATTTTGTTGGGCTTCTCTTTACTACCCTGAGAGCCCTTAATATTCCCAGGAAACCTGTTTTCCTCAGAGTATGTATTTCTGCAAGGTCTCTTGTTGAACCCCATTGGGAAGCTTATGTAAAGGGAGGAAGTCCACAGTTTTCACACACAGTTGTCACCAAACTAAGGTTATAGTTAAACAATTATTTTCTCCAGATCATCCTTCTCTTAGAAATCATCTCTGTGCCTTTTATAAGAGTCTCAAGATTTATATCATAAGGAAAAATGTACTTATCGGTGTGAAGTCATTCCTCTAAGTTTGTTATAATATTAGGGTAGTGGTTAACAAGGAAACCCACTTCTATTGTTCTGTGGCATATTAGGTCACAGAGTACAGAGGAAGCTTTTAGCAGTTCCAGATAAAGGACCTCACGGAAGTCTATGAAGCCAGTGGGACTCAGCTACTGATTAAACAGCAGCTTGTGAAACTAGGGCTCTCATTTTAAAAAATTAAACAAACAGACTTATTTTGAAAAAAATTCTGAGGTAAAGGAAGTGCTTTCTAAAGTGTGAGTTTTTGTGTTTATTTTTAATAGTTTATGAGAAATAAAAATTATTTCAACAGGCTTTCATGCAGATTATTTCAGGATTTATGGCTATCAGGTTTGAGATTTGATTTAAGTTGGTAATGCCGTTATTGCTCTCACAGGGTGATATTTTGGGGCTAACTAAATGTGCTCATTTGCATAGTAATAGGAAGCCTAACAGTTTTGTAGCTGATCTGCACTGAAGTTTATCAAATCTCTACAGTTTTATTGATACTGATATGCTGACTGCAATTCTCTTGAAATGTATGTTGTGTGAGCCCTCTGTGTACTTATATCTAACAGCTGTACATATAATAAAGATATGTCCAGGTTTCTTTTTATGTTTTAATAAACTTAAACTTTTCTGACCTTGTTGTTAATTTTTGTACATTATTTGATTTCTCCCCTTAGGTATAGTCCCTGTAAATCGCCCACTACCATATCACCTGTGAACCGTCACGTCATCTCTTGTCCTCGTCCCTCCCCAGTTTTGAACCCTTTCCTGTCCCTTCTGTATGCCTCAGGACTATAGTCAGCTTGCACGTTTTATCTTTTTTGGGCACTTTGTTCAGTTTCCCTGTATTCCTCCTGTAAGTGATAATATCTGATATTTTTCTCTTCTCATTTATTTTGCTGAGCTTTATCCCTTCCAGCTCCATCCAGGTCACTGTAACTGACATGACTGTCTTTTTTGATTACTGAGTATTATTTCATTTTGTAGTGCTTTATTGTCTATATTATATACCATGTCGTTATCCATTTACCTGTTTTGGGGCATATAGGTTGTTTCCATAGAAGTGCAGGTTTCCTTTCAAATTAATGTTTTTGTGTCTTTTGGGTAGATTTCTAGGAATGGAATTGCTGGGTCATTTGGTAGATTCATTTTTAGTAATTTATGGGTCCTCCAAATAACTTTGAATAGTGGTTGTGTCCAGGCTTCTGAAAAGTTAAATGAGCCCTCAAAAATGTTCCCAACTTCTCAGTTAAGAGTAAAATTTATGAACGAGCCGAGCCATAAGAGGAGAGAATATATGCAGAATTTGGACTTTGGAATTAGTCTGGATGTAAAGCCTTCCTTAAAACTACTTCTGTAGTTTTAAGACTTTGGGTCAGTTACTTGACCTTTCCAAGAATCTTAGAATTCAACTATTAAAAAAAAAGGGTTGATGGTAACATCTACCTAATGGGCTAGGCGGTAGTGTCACGGTCTAGCAGGTGGTGTCACCTGTTCTCAGCAACCTGGATTTTTTCATTGCCTTGGATTTTTGGGTAATCTGGTAGGCTATTGAATTGACTGTTGATGGGTAGTAATGACTTCAAAGAAGGCACTCAAAGCAGAAGCTGTTTATCATGGAATACCTGGAATTTACTTGATTTCAAAAATCATTGTTACTCAACATAACTTGCTATATGATGGATGAGAAAGGGATCCTTTAGAGAGAAATCTGGCTTACTTAAGTATGATGTACAGGCTGTCATTGTTACTTTTTGAAATTCACGATGTTAGGGAATAATGCTAGACATTTTTAAGATGATCTGGATTAGCCTGCTTTTATGTTATCAACCTGTTTTGAAAACATTTAACATGACTGAAGCTCTTACATGTGAACAACTCTTGGTTTTAATTGACTTAAAGGAACCACTAACAGTCCAAATTTAGTTGATCCCTAACAAAATTGTGTACTGAATAAAGCATCCTTAAAGGCAGGGAGTTAACTGACTGGGTCAGCAAGTACAGGACTGAGGCTTCCCTTAGCCAATGTCATTCGAGAGATACCTGACTTGTTTTCTCTCTCTTTTAAAATCATGTATTTTTATAGCTGGGCTTTACTCTTTAAAATGTGTAATTACTCAGACATGAGGGAAGAAATATTATAGAAAGGAGAAATGGGACAAGTTCTAGTCTAAAACAGATAGCTGCATCTAGGGTTGATTCTACATTTGACTC